CCCCCCCCCCCCCCCCCCCCCCCCCCCCCCCCCACACACACACACACACACACACTCACTCCTTTTGTTTTTTGTTGTTCGGTTGTTATACAAAAACCTTGGATTGGCTTTTGTATTTCTTTTCTTCCTTCCAATGTGGTGGAAACTGGAATGTAAAAATGATTGCATCTTGCCTTTCCAAATAAAAATTAATTAAAAAAAACTTTGCTTTTTCAAAAGAAATCCTACAAAAAACAAGAACTGAATTAAAATTTTGCACCTGTAGGGGGAAACAGCAGYGTGCACCCGTTGACCCGCTCCTACAATCAGCTCAGAGCTTAATCATCTGACAAGTCCAAAAATGAGCCTTATTTATTTGAGCCACAGGAAACCAATCTAGAGGCCGTTCACGGGGACATTTCTAACAGCCTGAGCGAACCGTGTACAGTGAGCTGAGCAGGTTACCGGGTCTCACTCACCGAGTCGATGAGAATAAAAGCCGTTAGGTGCCGGTGTGCGACTCCGTGGCGCTGGAACCTTATGGCAATCAGGTAGCGATTACTGGGCTCAAAGCAGAAGGGTCTGGACATGTGAATGATTCTGAAAGAGAGAATAATGAAACCTTTCAGACATCATGTCAAAAACCATCAATGCTCTGCATATCTAAGCATCCTTCCAGAAAAGTTTACGTTTGTTGTTTTTTAAAGAAAATACAAAAACCAATCAGATGTCATGTTGGTTCAAAGACCACCAAGGTGCTTCGCATCCAAGCTTCTGTGCTAAAAAGATCAATTTTAGCTTTGTGAACACACAAAAAAAAAAACAATCAGACGTCATGGCACTACAAAAAACACCAAAGTTCTGCATATCTAAGCTTCTGTGCTAAAAAGCTCATTTTGTTTCTTTTGTGGCCATTTAGTTTTCATGCTAATTTGATTTAATTTTAAATTAACTAATAGTAATATTCATGCAAAGGTTGGGCAAATGAATACTGCTAAACAGCAGGAAGTGCACCTAGAGGAAAAGTCTATAAGAAATAAAAAGAGAATCAGTTCTTTGCTCACAACCTTTTTTACATTATGACTGCATATAAACAAAAAAACAACCTGCTGCTGACTTTTAATGGTTCAATAAATCTGATTTTATTGATGCAAAGATTCATCAATGCATTTTGAGTTGATTCCAAAACTGCATTGTTCGCGTTCATCAATAGGTACAAATCATCACATCGCTRTTCATTAATGATTTAAAAAATGAGTGTATGTCTATTACTTATATAATTAATGTCTGAATTTAATTTTGAGGGGAAAATGGGCAGATATGACAAAAAAATTATTTTTTTTTGTTTTTTTCAATAAAAAGGTAATTTTTCTTTGTTTACGATGAAAACACAAACCAATCAGTACGTGGTGTTACTGTATATTAGGATGTTAAATTATGAACGAGAAGTTTCCTTTTTGTTTACTTTTTTAAATCTAAAGCAAAGCATGCTTCCAAAAAGTCCAACAAAAAGAAAGAACAAATCCAGGTCAAAGATTAACCTGGTAGATTTTTTTTTATTCTTTCTGCTTCCTTTCATTTAATTTATAACTGTTTTTTACTGTTTATGGATTATTTTGTTTTTAAATGAATGAATGAATGAATAAAAATACATATTAAACATAAATATCTGATATGTGTATAAC